TTCTGAACTCAAGGGGTCCTCCCTCATCAGCTTCTCAGAGTGTTAGGATTATAGCGGTGAGCAATTACACCCATTCTTTTGAAAGAGGAAAAGAATTTCATTAGTATTTGTCAGCGTAGTGCTTACGGACACGTCAGGAAGGAAAAGTATTATAATTATGCGAGCTAGAAAAAGTTCTAGTATGTAATAACAACGGAATGCACAGTAATAGGAAAGTGATGGGGAGAATGGCAGACTCAAGACATCTAACCCCTCTGTAGAGGGAGCAGCTCAAACGCATAGCTCAGGTGAGGAGGCACACAAAACATGGAAGAGCCAGGTGTAGTGGTGCACACCTGTAATCCCAGCTACTTTGGGGCTGAGGTGGGAGGATCGCTTGAGCCCAGGGGTTCAAAGCTGCAGTGAGTTATGATCCTACCACTACACTCCAGCCTGGATCCCTTGAGCTCAGAATTTCAAGAACAGAGCAAGACTTCTTCTTAAAAAAAAAGAAAGAATGTTACTTTCTTTGCATTATTATTATTATTATTGCTTAATATTTTGATGCAGCAATCATCTGATTTCTTTCCTGAATGTATTTATGTTCATTCGTTCTTTATTTATCTTTCTAGTCCTTATCTTAAACATTGTTATTGTTATTAAATTTTAAGCCTTTTTAATATTGTGAAAGTGAAAAGTGGAAACCTAATAAACACATGTATAAGTAAAAAAAATTTAAAAATACATAAAAATATTTTTGAAGTTATTTTTTTCAAAGAAATAGTTTCAGTCCATATACATTTGTCTAAATTTCCTCACATTCTTAGGGAGTATAACATTTGAGTTGTGACTTATGGAGTGAGTAGTAGGCAATGAATCATTGAAAGGTGTCACTATGATGTCCTATGGCAGTGGTTCTCAACCTTCCTAATTGCCATGTTGTTACAAATTGAAAAAAGGGGTCATGACCCACAGGTTGAGAACCGCTGTCCCAGGGACTCAAAACCCAGATGGCTCAATGGGACTATGCTCAGCATGCCAAATTATTACATCACTAGAATCTATCATGTCTACAAATTCAGCCTTCTATTCAAATTTTCTCTACACTCCAAAATTAATTTTACTCATTTAGCACTTGCCATTAAACTTTATTCTCCAGTAAATTTCTAATTATGAATAATAGGAATTATTATTATATTATATCAGTATAATATATATTACATTTCACAAAATACCTTCAGGTCCATCATTTAATTTTGCTTTCCAGATAGTCAATCATTTATTCTAGAGTGATAATTACACATGAACCAGTGTTTGTGGTGCTTGGGATCCATCCGTGAACATATCCCTGTCAATTCACAACAATCTCTCCCCTCATGGTGTTTACATTCTACCTTTAAGAGGGAAAAAATAAATTAATAAATACACCCAATAAATACAAGAAAAATGCAATCCATTGAAAGTTGACACACACGATGTGGGAAACAACAGAACCTCCATTTAGACAGGTGAGGGGGACAGAAAGTAGCTCTGGGTGGGCCCTGGGGTGGGTGGACCATGTGGCATTCACTGAGAAGCTGGAGCTCAGCAGACATGAAGAAGGAAAGGGAATGAAGTGGAGGGACACCAGGGAAAGGCATTTGAAGTGGAAGCCACAGCAGAGGAGGGAAAGGTCTCCATGAGGCCAGGGCTGCTGGAGCAGGATGGGAAAGGAAGTAAGAGGAGGAGGGGAAGAACCAGTGAAGGGATTGGGGTTCAGATCCTCTGGAGTCTAAAGGCTTATTGTGAAGAATCTGACTTTAAATTGAATGTGATGATACCACTGTTCTGGGTGCTAAAAGGGTCAGCCCAGCTCCCATGCTGAGAAAGGAAGGTGGGAGGGGCCAGAGCGCAGCCAGGGCCATGGTCAGGAGGTGAATGTGGCATCCAGAGGAGGGGTGGAAGCTCAGGTCATAGCATGGAGGCAGAGTGGTCACAGCTAGCCGAAGCCTACATACATCCTGAAGGCAGAGCCAGAAGGGTCTGCTGGCCCACTGAGTATGGACTGGTGAGATCAGCAAAGGAGTCACCTGACATGTGGCCTAAGCAGTCAGAAGAGGGAGCCGCCATCTTCTGAGATGGAGAGGCCTGTGACTTTGCTGTTCTTGTAAAGGCCAACCCAGGGAGAGGTTTGGGTTAGTTTAAAGCCACACTGGGTTTAAAATGTCTACTTGATGTCAAGTGGACAAGTGAATATAAAAGACTAGCATTCATGAGAAAGGACAGAGAAAGTCGGGAAGTAGGATTTGGAGAATTTTGCAGGTAATGAAGCTAAATGCCAGAGGGAATAGTGGAAATCTTAAGAATTAGAAAGGAAACAGAAGGAGTCTTAATAGGAGATATAAAAAGCCTTAGGAAACTTGCTTTTGGCATTTTATTGTGGTTTATGTCAGTCATTAATGTCTGACATAAATCACAATAAAAGGCACAATTAGATGACAAGATTCAAGGCAGACAGTGGAGACCAGGGCATTAGGTTACAGGGTAGGGAGAGGTATCCCTCAGACTCTCTTCTCATTCTCTGAAGTGTAAGGATGTGTAGGAGTCTCTTTCCCACCCAGAAGGCTTCCTTGTCCCAGGGAATGGGTGGAGCCCCCTGGAATGTGGGATTTTAGACGAGAACGCAAACCCTTTTGATCCCCTGGGAAGGGGGCTGTATTGCTGAGCTAAAGCCCATTCCTCCCAACCCCTGCCCCATCATGCATCAGAGGGGCCCAGAGCATACATGGTCTGTAAGATGTCAACATGAAGATTATACAGACGTGTTATTTCCTCTGTTCAAAAATTATAGCGGCAGAGAGGGAAAGTGTTTACTTACAATCAGACAATTAAAAAATACTGAAAGCAAATTATATTAGTAATATGACTGAAAGGTAAGTAAAAGATGTCAGTAGAAAGAGAAGAAGAAGATTAAAACTTTGGCAGCTTATTATCAGGATAATGTTAATTTGTTCATTAATTCACATTTATTTATTTATTTAGAGACAGAGTCTAACTTTGTTGCCCTTGGTAGAGTGCCATGGTGTCATAGCTCACAGCAACCTCAAACTCATGGGCTCAAGTGATCCTCTTGCCCCAGTTTTTCATTTTTAGTAGAGACAAGGTTCTCATTCTTTCTCAGGCTGATCTCAAACTCATGAGCTCAAGCAATCCTCCACCTGCCTCCTTGGCCTCCCAGAGTGCTTGGAATACAGTCATGAGCCACCATTAAATGGTTAGCATTGAAGCGTTTAGCATTTAAGCATTGTAACATTTATGTAGCAATTATTTATGAGTCACAGATACAGAGAAAGATGGCAGTGAAGTTAGCCTTCAATGGCTTTTAAGAAGTTTTGCTGGAGGCCAAACCTGGTGGCTCATGTCTGTCAACCTGGCACTCTGGGAGGGCAATGTGGATAGATCCCTTGAGCTCAAGAGTTTGAGATCAGCTTGAGCAAGAGCAAAATCCCATCTCTACTAAAAAGAAATAGAGAAACTAGCTGGGTGTTGTGGCAGGTACCTGTAGTTCCAGCTACTTGAGAGGCTGAGGGAAGAAGATCATTTGAGCCCAACAGTTTGAGGTTGCTGTGAGCTATGATGCTACAGCAGTCTACCCAGGGCTACAGAGTGAGACTTTGTCTCAAAAAAAA